GATGATGTGGAAAAGGTCCAACTTTCCTCTGGGATCCAGTGGAAAGGGCTGCTTTTGCGTCCCAAACCCCAGTTTTTTATCTAAGTAGGAAAGGCTTGGCTCCTGCCCCTGGCTGGAGCATCTCCCAGTGGGATGATGTAATCTTATCAGTCACACAATAGGACTTAATGGCCCATTAACAGAAGATATCTTCTGGAGTAAGGATGGGTTGTGAAAAGATAATGATGATCATCCCCCTGATTTTATCAGATGGCACATCAGCAGAGGATATCTCCCACAGAGGTAAGGATCACCACTCCTCCCACATTTCAACAGATGGTGATCGAATACACATTTTTGCATTGTACCCCAGGACAGCTCCCTTTTCCTATCCTGCAAAGCCACCACTGGAATTAACTTTTCTCAAGTGGTGTAAGAAGCTGTTAGAGGAACCATCTCACTCCCAAGCTGGCCCTGGAAAGTGAAGGGAACTCCCATCAATCACAGGGCAGGGTGGTGGGACCTCAGTCAAGGGCTGGAGAAGGGCTGAAGGGGATGAGCATGTGATGGAGGAGGGATTTGGGACATGGGGATGGTACACAGAGAGCAACATCTTTGATGGAGAGGGAGCTGGAGGAGATGCAGTGTGGAGTTGGTGCTTCTCCAAGATGGTCTCCTCATCTTCCATGTGGAGCCTGAGTGAAGGCTGCAGCCATAGCCATTGGCTTTCCTGGAATTTATGTAAATGATATGTTTCTGTCACCAGCTGCTCAGATACTCCAATGTCATCTGTTTGTGTCTGGAGACACCCTGGGAGGATGGCAGAATATATTGCCAGGGCTCAAGCTCCTCATACCTCCGGCTTCAAGGTGATGGTCTCCTTGGAGCATCTTCCCTTGACATGGGGAAGGTTGAGAATTTCTGACCTTTTGCTCTTGCTCTGCAATTATAGCAACTGCATCCAAGGACCTCTGTTTTCCAGTATCCACTGCCCCAGCTCTTATCTACAAGGTCCCTAATGCACACAGCGGGGTATGGGGTGGCCTTTAGACGTAAACAGAGCTGGATCAAAGTACAGCCTACATCTCTGGAGCTAAAGTATCTTTCTTTTGCCATGGAACAAGTAAGATGCAGAGGGCAAAACTCCTCTGTCAAATTAAGTGACCTCATTTCTCCCTGGGGCTAATGTCCAATAGTCTCTGTGCCTCCTTGGCCAACATAATACATTATTGTCTTTTTTAAGATCCACGTGTGCCTTGGGAAGTGTGGTTTGGAAAAGGTTCCTATATCAAGTGGCAGCAGCCACTTGAGGTAGTCTCTAATTGGAAGTGTTTTTCTGCCTTCTGGAAATTCTTGGAAAATACTTCTTTTAGTAAAGTGGAACCCAGAAGTGTGTCCTTTAGGGAGCAGCTGCATCACCGAGGGTCCAAGAAATGCCTGCAGATTAAGGAATTTGGTAGAAAGTGGAAAAAACTCTCCACCATAGTTGTATAGACACACACATGTGCATGTACAGACATATATAGGATCCCTGTGTGATACAGGCATGTACCTGGTGTGAGGGGAAGCACATGAAGTGCAGCCATTATATTTGTAGTTGTGCCTTCTTTACAAAGAGTGTATCAGTGGTTGCATTTGCTTCTCCCAAAGGTACAGGACACTTGTTTCCAGACTCAAGGGCAGGCTCTGCAGCACCAGCAGTTTCCACATGGAGTTTCTGCAGTTCTGCTCGCCATGACCTTGTGGGCCACCAGGAAAACAACAGGGTCCTGCCAGCCTTGTGCGATGAACCATCACTTGCCAGGACTTGCACCAGGCTTCCAGGGACACTGAGTTGCTGCTCGGGATCCTGAACACCTCTGATTCCTCACCGTACTGCTGGCAGGGTGAGATTGATGTCCAGTTTGGGTCACTGGGCAGAGTCAAGCCCGTCACCATCCTCTGTGCCCTTGGCAGATTGGGGGACCAAGCTGGACCCTTCTCTCTAAAGAAGGGTGCAAGGGATAGGCTTGGGGCTGTCCATAATCAGTCCAGTGAGAAGAGCCACCTCCTTCACCCTTTCCACCTGGGAACCATGTCACTGCTGCGGATGGCACCACATGGATGCATTGCAAGGGCCAGCAGCCTGACAGCGAGGCACTAGCTGAGCCTGAGCACTATCACGGGGCATAGAGCTGCCGGGGGGTGCCAGCATCCCCACCACAGCTGCACTCGAGGGATGTAGGTGCCGGGCACAGGAGGGGTCCAGGCAGCAATGGGCCGGCTGGATGAGCATGCCAAGAGGAGGATTGTGGAGCTGCGCAGGGCTGGGCTGAGCTTCCGCAAGATCAAGAAGGTGCTGGAGCTGGATGACATCCGGGTGACGCCACAGGCTGTATATCTCTTCCTCAAGAGGAAGAGTGTGGAGCCAAGGTCAGTGGCAGCTGGCTGGGATGGGGACCAACCCTGGCCTCCACTGCAGGGGCATGAGGCTGAGCCCCCCAGGCTGTTGGGCACACAGCACCCTGCACTGCCTGCTGGGGATCCTATGGGCAGCCGGGCGCCCTGCTCTGCTGGCAGCCAGGACACCAAGGAGGACATCCACATTTTTGGTGTGGCCTCGCTCTGCAAGGACGGTGTGTGGCTTGGGGACACTCTGCCTATGGGGCTGGCCCCTGGAAATGGTAAGGTCCACTGGGGTTCACCATAGCCACTTCCTAGCACTGCTGGGCTCCACTGGAGACCCCCCCAAGAGCCTCGTTTTGAGGTGTTTCTCTCTCTGTTGTTGCAGGTGATGACAGCTCCACAGGCACAGCCCTGGCTCCAGGGACTCCTCTGGGAGGCCTGGCCCCCCTGCCACTGCCCAGCCGAGGGCAGCTGATCGCAACCCCCACCCAGAACTCAGCAGTGACGGTGAAAAAGAAGACTGTGGACAGGGCTATCCTCTTGCAGAAAAAGGTAGGATGGCAGGAAGGGAGAGTCCATGTGCTCTGGCCAGGAGCTGCTGCCATCTGGCCAGCCCTGCACAGCACCCTGCTGCATCTACACTACGTGGTGGGGCAGGCTTCTAGGGGTGAAAGGCTCCCAAAGTGCCCCCAGCTTCTGCTAGCTGCACTCCCCAGCAATGCTAACTCTGGCACTTGGTGAATGTATCTGGGACGCCCCTCTGGATGGGGGTGAACCATGGGCCCACCCGCCTCCAGCCAGCACTCACTGCTGGCCACAGAAATGCCAGTTGCTGCCAAGCTTGGCCTCCAACTGGCAGCTCACAAACCTCTTTTCAAGGCTTGATGTCAGTACCATCTCAGGAGGTTCTTGAAGCCACCCAAGGCTGGAAAGCAAAATGTAGGAGATGTTGTTTCTCTCCCTACAGAGGGCAAGCACAAGCCTGGCATCAGCTTGGGCAGCCCCACTGCCGTTCAGCAGCACTCACCCAGGATGGATCAGCACGTGCTAATGTTGCTGTCAATTAAGGATTAACTATTGAAACAGCTGTAATAAAACATACAGCAACATGGTCTCCTCTCAAGACAGGAAAGGGACACTTTATTGTAACACTACCTTCCTACACTCACTTGCTAACCTAAGAACAGAATACAGCTCATTGCTCAGAGCGAGCAACACCTCTTGCACAGATGTTTTCATTACAAACAACAGAGTTCTCAAAATACACACTCTGTAAACAGTAGCAGGTGCCTTTGTTTGTTCCTGGGAAAACCTCTGCCCCCAGGTCAGCCCTTGGGAAAGCCCCGTGTTCTCAGCTTTCCCACGGGCTTCTGAGGCTTCCACAAGTCCCCCCTCTTTATTTAAAGAAAAAAGGAAAAAAGAGAAGTGTTTGTAGTCCCCTGCGGGGCTCTGTGCAAGGGAGGACAAATATTAACTCAAGAGACGTGAAGATACTTTGAATATTCAGAAAATTTTCACACCTGCTGCTCTTTCTTGCAAGAGGCTGCAAAATATTATTTCTAATACAATAGTGAAATCTACCATAAAACTAAAATCTCTCTAAAATATCTTACCATACATCTTACCATATCTAATACATCAATGAATTCTGTCTAAAGTCTCTCAGGGATTTCAAAACAGTCCAGACAGGAGCGGGCGAATATTCACCCTCTACTTGGAGAGGGACCATCCAGTGGGCCATCAGAATGTTGATCAACATTTGAAGGTTGTACACCAGCCACATCTTGGTTCTGACGTTGCAGGTCAGGGCGGACACACCTTGTGGGCAGCCAGCATACCCTGGTATCCTTTGAAACGCAAGCATACCCACAACCTCAGACGATAAGTTCATGCGGGCCCTCCCACTTGTTCGTGGTCAGGTCACGTACAAAGACCTTCGCCCGAGGCAAAGTGATTTACTGTCTAAAGCCTGTAACGAGGCAAAGTGATTTACGATAACAGGATTATTCAAATCTTGTGGCACTGTAGGGTGATGGTATACAAAGCTTTTTCCAATCAGCTCTGAGGTGTTTCCCCAGCCATTCCCTTTCTTTGCTTGTCCAAAAAACACTTTAGAGTACCATGAGAGTGTACAACAGTGGCTTGACCGGTTGGAGAATGTGGAATGCCAAATTTATGCGAGACTCCCCACATCTGCAAAAACTGCTTTGTCTTCTGAGAGACGTAAGCAGGGCCATTGTCGGTTTTTACAGTGGAAGGTATGCCTGGGATCGCAAAGGCCATCCTCCAATGGGCAATCACATTGCAACCTTTTTCCCCAGTGTGAGCAGATGCCCACATGGCAGAAGAAAAGGTGTCAAATAGACACATGCACATACTTAAATCTACCAAATTCCGTGATGTGGGTAACATCAGTCTGCCAAAGCTGCAGGGCCTGTAAACCTCTAGGACTCACACCCGCAGGCAAAGGTGCAGCAAGCCCGTGGCAGTCAGCAGAAGAACTTACAATGTCACAAGCCTCAGTCATCATCAAATGAAATTGCTTTTGCAGAGTATATGCATTCTGATGGAAAAAACCATGCCATGCCTGGCCTGCGCAATCCTGTCAGGCTGAGGTGCCACCCACACAGGGTTAGCCAGCCTGTCAGCCCTGACATTACCCTCCATTAGAAAGCATGGCAAATTTGTGTGACTCCATATGTGCGGAATATAATACAATGAACTTGGGCTTGAATCGCGCACCACAAGGCCTTCAACAGACGAAATAAAACAGCATCGTCCACTTCCTTCAAAAGCGAGCAATCCAAGCGCTGAGTTATGTCTGCAACATAAGCGGAGTCAGTGACCAAATTCAGGGGTACCTGAGAAAACCTTTGGAATGCCATTGTGACAGCCTTCAACTCAATTATTTGGGCAGAGCCTGTCTCATGGTCTTCCAACACTTGCCAGCCAGATTCATCCTCCCAGGTAACAATGGCCTTCCCTGTATTGTCTGACTCGTCAGTGAAGACAGTAGGACCTTGCACTGGTACTCGAGTATTCTTGGGTCTCAATGACAACTTAACCTTTTTTGCCATTTGTAATAGCTTATGGCTGGGCAGATGATAGGCAATCTATCCCTTAAAATCTTGCAGTGTGCAAGGGAATATTGTTGACAAAGCTCCCTTCAAAAAATTCCCACTCTACAGGAAGAATGATCTTCACAGGATCTGCTGCCATCAATTTCAGACATCGTTGACAGCATTTGATTATCAATCGAGTGAACAATTCAAACACCATTGTTGCCATCTTCTTTAACTGATGCGGCAAAAAAAACCATTCTAGAACGTGCAAGGGATCAGGCTATTCCTCGTTCCATTGGCCAATGATACCTGTAGGATACAAATCTGGATTGGTAATAAACACAGTGATATCAACAGAAGGATCTACCCAATATACCTGATGAGTAGAGAAAGTGTGCTGCACCTCTCTCAGCGCTTGCTGCACCTCGAGGGTCAAACTCTGAGATGAGTCCAGATGAGAATCCCTCTTTAGGATGCTGAAAAGCAGGGACAACAGAGCTGTGGTCAGTCCCAAGTTAGGATGTAACCAACCAATAACACCCAGCAGTTTCTGGGCATCATTCAGAGTCTTAATAGAATCCGCAAATTGTACCTCTTGATGTTGAAGCACTTGATCCAAGATCTTGACCCCCAAAATATTTTCAAGAAGGTTGTCGCTGGACCTTTTCTGGGGTCACTTGCAGTCCATAACAGTGTAAAGCAGCGAGCAGCTGAGGCTCTATCCTCAGCAACTCATCTGGAGTAGAAGCTGCTATAATATGTCATCCATATAGTGATAACAATACGTGTCAGGAAACTGCTTGTGGAGTCAAGACAAGGCTCAAGCCACATACCATTGACAGATAGTTGGCAAGACCTTCCATTGATATCTCTGTCCTGGCTCCAAGGTGTTAATTGCAGGCACCTAAAAGCAAACTTTGGTCTGTCATCAGGACACAAAAGAGTTGTGAAAAACCAGTCCTTCAAATCAATGACCAGAATGGCCTATCCTGCAGGGAGCATGGTGGGTGAAGACATACCAGGCTGCAATGCCCCCATGCCTTCCATCACCGCATTAATTTTCCTGAGATCTTGTAACAATCTCCATTTCCCTGACTTTATCACAAAAATGGGAGTATTCCAGGGACTGTGAGAAGGTTCAATGTGTCCCTGCTGTAATTGTTCCTGAACTAATTCATGAAGGGCGAGCAACTTAGTCTTCTCTAGGGGCCACTTATGTTGCCAAATGGGGGTGTTGGTCAACCACTGTAAAGGTATCATGGGATAATTCTCACCCTTCATTCCAGTGGCCCCGATCAAAAATGTGCTTCAAGTCGCACTCCCCAGGCCACCAAAACATCCTGCCCCCAGAGTTTGATTTGGGCTACAGTAATATAGGCACGGACTGTGGCTGTCTGCCCTTCCAAATTTTTGAACAACACAGGCCGTTGACTTACAAAGGTCTGTGCTGTACCCCTCACCCCTTCAATGGCCTAGCCAAGCAGGGCCATTGGCCATGTGGGAGGCCAGACAGAAAAACAGACCACCATCACATCTGCCCCAGTATCAATCAAACCTCTGGGCTGGATTTGAGGTGTGCTGGCGCCAGGCAAAACCAGAGTACACAACATCTGTGGGTGCTGATTGGAGATGTGCATAGTGCAAAAGACTTGTGGCAGTCCCGTAGATCCAAAGCCACCATCTTTACACTCTCACCGACCAGCCCTAAGAACACATGAATGAAAAGGCACAAGCTGAACAATACGAGTTCCTGCTGGGATAGTAACTGGGGGAGAAGGCGTAGAAACCATGGCAGAGATTTGACCTGTGAAGTTGGTATCTGTGACACTTGGGTGAACAAAGATTCCCTGAAGATAGCACTAGATTGTCCCACAAGCAGTGTGCTTAGCCCCTGGCCCAAAGGTCCAAAGGCACCCAGAGGAATCTTATGTACACTGTTAGAGTCTAATGTAACTGTTGTGGTGTGTACATCCACTCTGGCTGACCCACGGATACTGGCTGATCATTGGCTGAGGAAACCTGTGCCAGGGCCGGGTTCTGAGGTACTGCCTGTGTCTGTGCAGTGTACCCCTGTGCCAGGGCCTGGTTCTGAGGTACTGTTTGTATCTGTGTGCTGTACCCCTTTGTGCTCATCCGTCCGTTTCCCTGCCCATTGGCATGTTTCTTTTATTTACATTGATTTGCAAAGTGACCCGTTTTTTGCACTTAGAACATAGAAAAGTGGGCCCCTCAGCCTTTTGTTGCCATGGCTTCTGCTTATCCTTGCCCTTATTATTTTTCTGTTTCCATTGCCCACCCCTGAAATCACATGGTGGTTCCACATGGCAGCTGCTAGTGTAGAGACCTCATGGTCTATGGCACCTACATTAACACATGCCTGAGCCATGTCAGTTAATGATGGATCTCCTGGCAAAGCCTGTATAATCTTCTTACTATCAACATTTGCATCGTCCCTGGCCAGCTGTTTGCATAACAGTTGCCTTAGATTATCATCCTCAACCTGTTTTTCCAAGGCTGCTGCCATCTTTTCAACAAATTGTAAGAATGGTTCTCTAGGACTGTGAACTATCTTTATATATCTCGGCTTGGGAGCTGCTGCCTCTATCGTGTTTAACATTGCTGCAAAACCCATTTTTTGGCACTGCTCGAGGACCAGGGGATCCCAGGTAGCCTGGACATCAGGATTAGAAAAACAGAGCTGCCCCATTAGAGCTTCACACCCCACTGCACACCTGGGATCTGCACAAGGGCACAGCATATTCTCTGTGGCCGCCCTTTCAGCCATCTGCCTCCAAGTAACTTCAAAAACCCTGAATTGAACAGGCTGAAACAGCACTTGGGCTATATGCTTAATATCATTTGGTGCCAGCAGATCCGTATTTAATACCCTAATAATTTGCATAGATCCAAGCCCATATCATGCAACCTTGTCCTGTAAATCTTGGACTGCATGCCAGGCTATGACCCCATGCCTATCATGTTGCCCTGTGTTGGGAGCAGCCTTAAACACGGGAAAAGCCTGGATTTCCCCTTGCATCTGGACAGTATCCTTATAATTTTGCGGCATGTCCTCCCCTGAAATTGGGTTGAGTCCACCAGTATCTACCTGCACACCCTCCTCCACTCCCTTCGCGTGAAGAACACCACCTCCAGGCATCCCCACATGCACCAACAAGTCACAATCCCCCTGCTGCAATGCTCAAAGCTTGACTGCTTCCCAGAAATCACGGTGCTTTTTCGGCCTCACAGTGACCGAGCATGGGGGAAGCATCCAGCGATGACTCCGGGGAGATGCTGTCAAGCTGTCCCGGTGCTGGCTGTCCAAAGTGGAGGCATGTCCTGGGGTGAGGGGTGCTGGCCATCAGCTACTTCAGCGTTGGGTGGGATCGACGAGGGTGGGAGCGATGAGGGTTGTGTCTGCCCAGCAGGAGATGACACAGCCGTCATAAGGCAATAAAGGAGGGACCCCGCCTACAGACGCTCCGGCAGGGACATCTTCCCTGGTCGGTGAGGCGGGGCACGGCCTCAGAGGCGGTGGGGGCACCAGCACCACCCCTGCCGGGCCCGAGGAGGGGTCCATCGAGGTGGGCAGGCCACAATGCTGGGGGTGAAACAGAAGACAGACCCGCCCCCGCTGAAGCAGAGGCAGGCTTCCATGGCCCCGCCCACAAGGGCGGGCCAGGTTCGGATGTCAGTGGTGGGGAGAGATCCGCGGCCACGCCCGCAACAGCGGTGGCCAGTGCCTGTGTGTCCTACCTGGAGAGCAGGCCGACCACAGGTGTTGGGCGCCTTGGGCTCGCGGGTGGTGCTGGCATGGACATCCCTGCCACCGGTTTGCCAGGGCCAGCAGCGGCTAAGGCCGTTACTACAGACTGCAGTGCAGCCACTGCTACACCTGCCACACAGACGTCTGCTGCCGCTCTGGCAGCGGCATCCTCGGGAATAAACGGGGCATACGCAGCCTCTGCAAGTGGCAACGGAGGAGCAGTGGGAGTGATTGCTGCAGTGACGTAAGTCGGCAGCTGGCCCCGAGTGGGGCGTTCAAACCCAAGCACTCACAGGGAGGGACACCCATCCCCTGAGGCGCAAAGGGCGGGGGGCGGTCGCCATCATTATCTGCTGCTACAGGCGACTGCCCCACCGCTGCCGGCAAAGGGTATACCGTCTGTCTATAATCATTTGGCGAAGGGTATATCCGTCCCTGGGTGACGGGTACAATGCCTGGGGTACCACTGGGCTCAGCGGGGCTGATGGCAGGCGGGGCGCGGCCGGGCCCGGGCCGCCGCACTCAACGGATTTCCAGGTGAGATCGCTGAACGAGGAGCCTCCGCACTGCCCTGTCCACTATCGAGTTGGCAGATGGAGTCCTCCTCATCTTGCTGGGACACTAGATCCGACTCACTCTCCTCTGGTGCCTCATTGCTTTGCGAGGTCCCACCCATCCTATTTCTTGTAATAATTCCTCATGTGTTAATTAAAGGGCCCAATGATGCATCCCCCCTCCACAGGGTGTCCCATAAATGTTCTCCAAGAATCTGCCATGTTGACACAGAGAATGCTGCCTCTGCATCATCAGAGAAACCCTGGTCTCTTGCCCAAGCTAATAGAACGCACAGGTCTTCATCAGAAACTGGCGTTTTCATGCCAGCCATGACATTCCTCCTGGCGGAAAGTACATGCTCCGGCTTTTTAGATAACTGACTCCCCATCTCTAAAGAGAGCCCTCTCCCTCTGGCTGTTACGTCAGGGATTTACCGTTCTGGACTTGAGCCGATAGGCTCCTGAGTTAATATACTCGTGTCCCGATAGAATTGCTCCTCTCCAAGGAGGGCAGAAACACAGTACTTTTTCAACGAAGGGAAAAACAGTCCAACGTCCCGTAGATTTCTGTCTCGCTGCCTCCAGGGGGTGGTGTCCACGGCTTCCCAGACAGCTTGAACTCCGGCCGATCCTCACGGCACTGGTTTTGGCTCCAGGCTCTGTGTCCTGGTTTTCTGGGTTACTCAGTCGGCGCATGGCGCAGCTCTGGCCAGGCTCAGCCTAGCTCAGGTCAGCTTATGCTCCGTTTAAGACAGACCTCAAAGAGATCCGTTCCGGTTTCAGAAGGCTTCAAGCCCTGGATATTTCCGGTGCTCTAACATCGGTAAGAGTCCCGAGCACGATCTTGGTGACAGTCACAAATAATATCTCGGTAGAACCTCTAAATGTTGCTGTTAATTAAGGATTAACTATTGGAATGGCTGTAATAAAACACATACAGCAACACGGTCTCCTCTCAAGACAGGAAAGGGACACTTTATTGTAACACTGCCTTCCTTAGGTACACTCACTTGCTAACCCAAGAACAGAATACAGCTCATTGCTCAGAGCGAGCAACACCTCTTGTTTTCATTATAGACAACAGAGTTCTCAAAATACACACTCTGTAAACAGTAGCAGGTGCCTTTGTTTGTTCCTGGGAAAACCTCTGCCCTTGGAAAAGCCCTGTGTTCTCACACAACTTTCCCACTGGCTACTGAGGCCTCCAGATGCTAACAACACAGTGCACCAGGGGCTCCAATGAGCAGCAGCTTAGGAGCTGGGTGGGGCTGAAGCGTAGCTCATGGTGAGGTCTAGAGGTCTGCAACAAGGTGATGGCTTTCTCTGAGAGCTCTTCTCTGAGCCTTGTAGCAAAGTGCAGAATAAATCTCTTGTTAAATGCCATTGAACGGGCAGCTGATAGTATTTCACATTCCCTTCTCTCCCACCTCCCACTATTCCAGGTCAAAGATGCCAGCACTCAGACTGTCTTGCCAAACCCTGTGGGTCCAGGAAATCACAGCCTTGCTTGGAGTGGACCACTGTCCCCCACTGCTCCCAGCTCTCCCACCATCGGCGAGAAGCTGGATGCTGTACAGATGGAGGTGCAGAAGCTGAGCCAGGCCCTGCACGCAGTGCTGGAGCGGCAGTGCCGCCTGGAACGCCTGCAGGAGCACCAGCAGCGGCTGCAGCAGGAGGTGCTGATGGCACTGCAGCAGCTCAGCTCCACTGTGAGCCACAGCACTGTGCCAGCCACCCAGCCCTGTGGCTCCTTCAGCAGCATGGGCCAGCCCTCGCCCACCATGCCAAACTTCAGCCAGTTCAAGATGGAGCTGATCTGATCTCCTGCAAGGCCTGTGTGTGCCAGTAGTGTGCTAATGTCAGGATGGAGCCAGGAGGAAGAACCATCTCTCAGAGGCTGCCCAAGGATTACATGCAGACCCAGCAGATAAGGTCCCTGGTGCCTCGTGTTCCCAGCCTTGCTGACTGGAAAGGGGCTGCCTGGCACAAGAGGCTGGACAGTGGAAGGCTGAGGCCTTGCTCCTCCTGTGCTGCTCATCCTGACTGGCACTGGAGCTGGCTGGGGCCCATGGACCTCAGCAGAAGGCAGTTGCCTGCAAGGAGAAGATGTAGCTGAGACAGACACAGCAGGAATGTGGGACTCCAAGGATACAAGAGACTTCCTTCTCATGAGGGTCAATGCCATGATGATCAATCTTGCCCTCCCCTCCACAGAACCTTGTTCAGTAAGAATCTGTCTATGCCACAGTTCAGAATGAGTGTGGGATCAGTATCTGCATTTTCCTTACCCCTCACTCAGCCAGTGAGCAAGCAAGATCTGTCAAGGGTCACTGTCACCTTGCATGGAATGGCACACGGTGCGGAAACCCATGAGGTGAAACCAGTGCTGCACACGTGATATTGTTGGAGCCTTGTATCAGCTGCTGCACCATTAGGGATAGATCACACTGTGTAGGAAACAATCTTTTACTGAGCAGATTCCACCCTCCTCATCCCAGAAACTCAGCAGATCTGGAGTATGGTACTGCTGCTGCCCACTGTCTGGCAAAATATGGGCAGGACCATACCAATAAGAGTTGCACGTGGGCAGGAGCTGATTAACTGGGTGTTCAGCTCTCCTCTAACCCATTTTCCTGGGCAGGACACCTTCCTGGTTGTGATCCTCAGTTGCAAGGGCTGTCCCTAGAGAGGCTGCTAGTGGTGCAGAACGGCTGTAGCAGAGCAGGGCATGATGCTGAGAACCCCCTTGCCTGGACCAGAAGGGCACAGGGGAGGCTGATGGGCCCTTAGTGAGCAATGGAGTCCAGAAGGACCAGAGATTGAGGAAAAGTCTGATGGAAGTGGCCTTGGCTCAGCACCCAGAAGTGAGTCCTGAGAGGAGGCAGAGCATGTGTCCTTCCTCTGCATCAGCCAAGCAGGCTTCTGTCTGCACGGGCACCACACTTGGCACAACTTGTGCCTGTGAGAAGTCCCAGTCTGTTTCTGAGGTCTCCTTGAGTCCAAGGTCAAAACTAAGAAGGGTAAAAACCAATTCAGGTGTTTGTACACAGACACACTCACACACAGCTCATGCATGCACAGATGCAGATGCATGTGGCAGGTCTGTGCAGCAGCCCCAGTGAATGGGGGAGCTGGACACCCCCTCTGCTCCCCTGAGACACATCACTAGCCCTAGGGCTGCCCAGGAGCACTAGAAGTCTGCTGCCATCTGCCTGTGGTCATTCGTTTCGATGTTGATGTAATTTTGGGGACATCTGAAAAGTAACAGATGAAGAAAAATACCTAATCAATCGCTCTGCTCTTTTGCACAAGGTAGCTAATCTGCACCTCAGATTTGAAAAGAAGAGGCTGGATGACCAGCACTTAGCAGGCACAGTTTCTTAATGTCTCTGTCAATGTTTTACGGAAAAACAGGAGCAGAGCAGCTGCGATTCCCTGGCATGTGTACATAAAACCACCCTAGTTTCTGAAACAGCTTCCCTAAATCTGACTTAGGCTATTTCTTAAATCATTTTAAAAATTAAAAAAAAAAAAAATCTACTGGGTTTTCTATTCCCTGAATGTATTCTAAGAACTTTCCTCATTTCTAACTCTTGCACATCAGCCCCTTACCCAGTGCTAAAAATACCCAGTAAAAATTAATAAAAATAAATCACTTAGGCTGGTTAAATAACCCATCCACTGTAACATTTATTTCAGACAGACATACAGCCTGAGTGTTCAGCTGCTGTTTGCCTCCTGATCACATCAGGGAACACCGAGTTATTATTTAAAAGCAGTGTCATGTTATAACATGGAAGGTGTTTCCCACCAAGGTAATCCTAAGGTGTCTGTCATTTCCATCCTGCTCCAAGGAAGAGCTCTTCCCTGTGGCCACAGCAACATCTGTTGTGTGCCACAACACGCCTTTGTTGTCAGTACCACTGATGGCCCTTACCCTGCACCTGCTGACATGCCCAGCATCATCCAGGATTTACTGGTATTATCTCTACCTCCCGCAGAACCTGCAGTCTGCTCTGTCAGAAACAAAGGGGCTTTACAAAAAGGGACGTTGCTGCAAAAATGAGGAGCGGCATGTTGAACGGTCTGAAAGCAGTGTAGATGTTCACCTGAGTGAAGGTCTCTGTGCAGCACTTAGAGAGGAGGCCCTGGAGAAGGAGAGGGTGGGTGATGGACAGAAGATACAACAGTGATTTCTCACCTTTTGATGAAATAAAAAGCCAGACCAAGCAACGATAACAGGAGCAGGAGAGATCTCCTGACAAACAGGGCAGTTTCGCAGTCCTGGAAGGAAGCTGAGGGAACAAAGGCAGAGAAGAGGCATTACAGCCATGGCCTTTCCCAGCATGGGGGGGCCCCAGGAGGTCACACATTCAGAGTCACAGAATGGGTTGGATTGGGCTAGGTTGTGTTGGGTTGAGTTGAAAGGAACCTTTAAAGGCCATCTAGTCAAGCCCCTGCCTTTGACAGGTTGGACCTTCCACTATGCCAGGTTGCTTCAAGCCCCACTCAGCCTGACCTGGAACACTTTCAGGAATGGGGCAGCCACAGCTTCTCTGGGCAACAACAGGTTGGGCTGTCCCAGCCTTCCACTCTTTTTTCCCCTGCTACACCCTCTGTGACATCCCAGCTCTGGCAGTTCCATCCTGTGTGCCAGTAGCTGCTCCCAGGAACTGGGCTCAGGGCTTCCTGGCTGCGTGAGCAACAGGTCCAAAAGCAAGGGGCTCTCCACTGAAGCCTGGTGGCTTGCCCACATGTGCTCTATCATGTGGAGACATGGCCTGACCCTGGTCCCAGCCCCTTTCACTGTGCTGGAAGCAGAGTCCCTCCTACTTACCACCACTGTGTGACATGAATGGCATCTTTTTGGGGGTGACACACTCAGGACTGGTTTTCAGAGCTCTCCCATCCACAGAGAAGGGATGGGGGATGGCCAGGAATCCCTGGAGACAGGTTTTGATGGACTGCTCCTGCTCTGGCTGCTGAACCCACACCTGGCCCCAGATCTTCACCAGTGACCCCACACATGTCAGGCTAAGCTCTGCCAAGAAACAACAGCACATTTGGGTGGTCAGAAACTCTCTGGTGTCAGGGATCATATTGCTCCCATGACTTTATGCCCTTCTGCTCTGATGCTCCCACTGCTTTGCAATCAGGCTGCCATGCTGCATCACGGGTAACTTAAGCACATTCTCAACCTTTCTTTGGGTGTCAAAAGGGGCTTGAGGTTGTCATCTCACCCAGCAGAATACTTTTTACTACACCTTTGTACCTCTACCCACTGGCCAGAATTGACTGAAATAATTCAGCTGGTCAAAAAGGCATTTGGGTGAGGGAGACAGAGCATGGCAGCAGTCTTCTCTTCCTAACAAAACCAGCCAAAACCCAGGAAACATTTTTCCTATCCCTCAAAATCTGTAGTTCCTTATGCTTCCAGAAGTGACTATTTTGTCTGGGTACTTTGAATAAATATAGGAGCTGGGAACCAGAGTCCTCTGGACTGCAAATGGCTGTTTGCTTTGTGGGTTTAGGTTTGTCTGGTAGACACCACAAGGATCAGCAGAGACTGCCATTCCTCATGGGCCCTCCAGCTTAGCTTCACAAGCAGCCCAGGTCAGATTGTCTCCTGCTCCCCTCACAGTGATCACCACTGTTCCTCAAGGTCCCCTCACTCCAGTGCCAGCCTGCAGGGTGAGCTGGAGCAGGAACTGTCCTGATAAGGCAGCTGTGGATGAGCAATTACAGGGGAGGAGGGCACTTGAACTAGGCACAAAGGAGCCAGGTACCAACCTTGCAGGTAGAGGTCAGAGACACTGCAGGAGTGCTCCTCCTCCAAGGAGTTCACCAACACCAAACTTTCCAGCATCCTCCTATGGTGTAGGGTCCACATGGAACAGTCTAGGTGAAGAGGAGATGTGGTTTTTCTGGGTGCAGTTCAGGACTGCTAGCAAGCTCCTGGCTATGTGCCCCTTGCAAAACACTTGGTTTCATCCCACCCTCCTCTGCCTCTCACTCTCCTCTGCCCTCTCCTGCCGGATGAGTCTTTACTTCTGACCTCCTACCACTGGACACCAGCTTGGCTCCTTTGGCAGCCTCCCAGGGAAGTGGGGAAGGGGCATATCCCACATCTCACAACAAAGACCAGTACAGAGCAGTCTCTCATGCTGGGAGCAGAGAGAGAGGCCCACTCTTGCCCCTCTCAGGAGGATGGAAGAGGAACCTGGCTCACTCTGTGTCCCTGAGCCTGCTGTGAAATAGCTCAGCAACAGAAAGACAACCTTTCCCCTCAGGTGTAGCCCCCAGCACACTGTCTGAAGACAGCTCAGAAAACCAAGAACAAGCTGCAGTGCCTGCAGACATGGGATGTTGGACAGACTCCAGGCTCCACCAAGGGCACTGCTGCCACCCAGAGACCACACACTAGGAACGGGCTCTCCATTTCCATAGTGATTCCTAGACTGTCCCATCCCACAGACACACAGACACCAGGTGAATGACAGAAGCCACTCTGCCAATCACTCATGGGACATCCCCTGCACACGGAGAAAATGACACCACCCCTTCCTTAGCTCTTCTCCTCCCACATGGTCACAGTTCCTGCCCCACACTAACAGGGAAAATATCCCAGAACCCCTTGTGTTCCTCCACATCCCTATCTCCACAGCCTCCTCCATCCCCAGCCCTCTCCTGCCCCACAGCATACCTCCCACAGGGAGCCACCAACACCAGGAGGAGCTGCCAGCAGTTGTTTTCTCACCCTAACCCATTAAGGATGTGGCTGAGCTTAGCAGAGTCCAGAAGTGCAGGGAAAGACAGGAAAGGGAGGCAACAAGAGCAATAGCCAAGACAAGAAACCCACAGAGAACAATCTTTACCGGTCCACTCAGGGTATCTCCTGAAAGCAGATTGGCACTGATGTCTTCTCTCACCCAGCTCTGTGTCTACTGCCTGCTGAACTGCGGTTCGGCAGTTCTTCAGAGAAGAAATGGTTTAGCTTCTCCAGATACTTACACAGCTCTTCCTGGTTATACTCCAGTTCTTTGCCAACATTACTGGGGGAAAAAGAAGATGGCAGGACAGTTTGCTTTCCCTCTCCTTCCTGGCCTCTTCCACATGTGGGTTTTGTTTCGTTAGAATAAGCATGGTGATAATCAAGATCAGTCAGAGATACACAACCCAAACTTCTTCCATTTTGGAGATGAAAAATCAGAAGCTGGTCATACCTGTTGATGTACTCACAGGGAAGAAGCCAAAGGGACCTAACACTGCCAGTGATCAGAACTCTCCAGCTGCCAGCATGTACAGGAAGACTGGTGCCAGGAATGAAACCACTGGGGATGTCACAGCTGGATTTTCTAAAACAGTGTGTCTTACAAACCTTCTACAGTTCTAAAGATGAAAACAGCAGAAACAGTGAGGAGCAGAAAAATTTTAGGCAGCAGAAAGATACAAGATTATCTGTCACAGCTCTGTATATTCTTAAAATAACAGCATCTCTCCTTTTCTTTTTTTTTTTTTTTTTTATGGAGCTGCAGGTAAAATGATCCTTACTCTTTAACCTTCTGTCTCGGTTTGAAAGAGAGGTATTTTTCTAAGGAAAGGCGAGAACCCCTTTCCTGAGATGCAGAGTGCAACCCCCTCCCTTCTAATTATTTTAGTTTCAAATCAGAGGCTGTCAGGCAGGAGATATGGGGATAGGAATAACAGCTCTTTACTGATATCTAACAAGGCAAAATAGCTGAAACAACAACAGCTATAAAAATTGACAACAAAACAGAACAGTATAGCTCAGTTCCAGTCCCTTTTGGCCAAGGCACTCTTTCCCTGCGCTCAGTTACCGGTGCTGGGGGCAGGGCAGGTCCCGCGCAGTTGAAGAGGGCTGGAGTGATGGCGGCAGCGGCCCAGGGGTGAGAGGGATGGGGAGGTGACTCCCCCTCACGGTGTCAGTTGTGATGCTCAGCAGAGTGTCTGGAGGCAGTAGGGTGAGGTGGGAGAGCAGCAGAGCGATGTTCAACGGCAGGGAACGTGGATCTCGGCGCTGGGATGGCGGGGGAGATGCTAGATCGGAGCACGGGCTGTTCTCTCACTCCACGAGCCAAGCGAGAGAGTCCCAGCCCGCTCCAGACCCCTCTCCCACCTTTCCTTTTCCGGTCTCCCCCCATCCCCCCAGCCCCCTGCGAGAGAAGACTATTGCTACTAAGGTGTAGCCACAAATACTTAGCATAACAATGGGAGAAATTCCACAGAAAGAAAAAGGGAACAATTCAACCCCCAACACCTTCCTTCTATTAGAATGTTCCAGTTTATTTCTTTCCTGAAGTGGTAAGTTCTTCCTCTTTCTAATTCAAAGAAAAGTTGGGATTTCCCTCCCCAAATGAAGGGAATGTGTTATCCTTTAGGAGTGATTGGATACTAAGTACACAGTCTCTGCATCTTGAAAATCAAAGTGAGACAAAGTACTATCAGTCACCTGAAACACAGGATCAATTTGGCTTATTTGTGGTCTTGGAAGTCCCCCTGGAAGTGGCTGCTGTGACTCTGGAAGTAATTCCAGCTGAACTCTGTAGGGATCCCTTGGAGATTCTTTGTGGGCTGTTCCTCAATGACTCTGCCCCCTGATTACTCAGATATGGGCTGCCCAAGGACCAATAAATGCATTTCTACTGACCAAGCTCAGGAGAAGGGTTTGGACAAATGTGATTAGTGCCCAGTGTTCAGGGTAACAGCCAAAATGTCAGCAGGGAGAGGGCCAGCCTTTGAGGGGGCAGGCGAGCCATCCCCTGAAGGCAGGGTCTGTCTGGAATGGGATTGCATTTCCTAATGCAATGCTTGTGGGATTTGTTTACAGAGGAGGGTGCCAAGTCTAAGAGGAGAGATCACACCCAGATTTCTTCTGCCTTTGTGTGCAAACATTCTTGGCCTCACCCTGCCAAAGAAATAACCAGAAAATAAAAAAATAAAAATTTTCACTTTGTTCCCCAAAGTGAGACGTTTCCCCTGCTTTACTACAGTGAATGGTCTGAGACAATTTACAGTGTTCTTGTCTTTAGAAGCTGATCCTCAGCTTTAGTTTTCCAAGACTGATGCTGTGAAGCAAGTTTTGCTCTAGAAGCACTGTGGTATTTCCCATCCCCTTTTGCATTATCTTTAACTCACTCCTGAGCTCATAGCTGTGCTGGATACTCCTGTAAGCAGTTTGCTGCCTACAAGCCTGGGCCTGGCACTGCTGCTCTACATTTAGGTGGGCATTCAGCAAAGAGATAGAGCACTCCCAGACCAGCCACCCTGGTGGCACCAAACTCAAATACCAGGCACAAAACTGAGGAGAGAATGCAGAAATATGCAGGTCAGAATTGAGCTTAACTTTTTATCAAAACTGAGATACATTTCCATAAAGCAAAAACAGTGGATCAGAGATGTCCAGGTAGATCAGAATACTTCCCTTCTCCCTCACTGTTGTACATCATTAATGCCTTGGGGTATAGAACAGGTATTACAGTCACTAGTAGAGCAAAGCCCTGATCCAAACCTGACACCACTGTACTAAGAGACATCACTGAAACTCTAAACAGCACTGAAATCTTGAATAAAGAAATGCTAAAAGGGGAAAACACAGCGTTTAAAAAACATCCTTAAGACTGCACTGTGGCCTCTGTAAAGGAGAAAGGATGGATGGGGCAGCCATGGCATTTCCTAACTTCTAATACTATTGCTTATTCCCTTTCAAACAAAATAATACAGCAAAGCTTAACAGTGAAGTACAGACTGCTGTAGTTTCAGACACCTCTTCAAGATACAATCACTAATGAAATAACTTGGGCACATTTGTCAAAAACTCAGGAGACATCACCTTGACTATAAAAACAAGGAGTAGATAGAAAAAGGTAAAATGTTTTATCCAAGGTCACATGGCTGACTCGTGGAACCGACCTGACACTCAGGGACACAAGGTATCACACTGATGAACACCTGCCTTCCCACAGACATATATATATAAGTCCTCCAGTAATGAAATAGAGAAAAAGGAACTGGCTTTGCAGGTCAGCATTATTCAGACCTCTGGAAAACCACAGGAGTTGTTCTCATATTAGAACAGTTTTCTCTGACCCCTTTGAAGATAACTGCTGGATTGGGTTACACCAAATGTCCACCTCACTGGTATCTTTAGTCTAATTGTGAATGCCTAATTAACAGCATGAACATTATGTAAGAATGCTTTCCAGAATACTTCTTCAGCCTTCTGGAGCAAGGATTTTATAGTATTTTAGCAGCTCTAGCTTTACCTTAGATATGACAAGGAAAAAAAATAACTATTTCCCAGACATCTCCTGCATAATCAGCCAGGGAAGCAAACAGCTGTAGTTCCAAGGTCATGTAGACAATGCTCTTGAATCTCAGAAAATGGCATGAAAACACAAAAAGTGTGACAAGAATACAGCTTTTGTATGTCTAATGTAAAATCCTGGAAATAAAAAAAAAATACTGTCTAAGATTGCTCTATAGGTTCAAGTAACAGCTGTGGCTCCTTGTGCCGACCTTGATTTCCAGTTTTCACCTACTGACTTACAAAAGACAAATTCATTTCTCCTTATATGGTGTTTTTCATCATATTTGTTACCCAGGTTCAGTTTCTCCTTATGTCCAGACATTAATTCTTTAAAATATTCTTTTAAAATATTTAGAATTTAAAAGGAAAAAAAGAAATCTCACAGATGCAACTGCCTGCATCAGAGCTTAATAATAAATTTTTTAGAGCCACGATCAGGTTTTTAGTCTTTCACAGCCAATGTCTTTCACCATCTCTCAGGTGCTCTCAGCACTCCATGGAATCTGCATACTCTCCCAATTCTCACTTTCCACACAGGCTGACTGGACTATAAAAGGGAGGAAAGCACTGCTCCCTAGGATCACCTGATACCAAATACTCTTTCACAGCACTTCTCTTCCTTCAGAATTTTCTAAGCTTGGTGGGAAGATTTTCTGCATGAACTTAAGAGATGGGTTCAGTGACTCAAGCAGTATAGACTAGAGACACACGTTCACAAAGCCAAAATTTAATACAAATCAAATGGAATAGAGTCTTTGGGCTTGTGACAGTTGATTTTACTACCATCCAAGGCTGGCATGCAGCTATTTTTCCCTCTGAGGCACTGTGGTTGTAACTGAGCTACTTATAAAGTAAACTTTATTTAAGAGTTGATTGTACATCTTTCTTAGCTGCCTAGAACCTGGCTTCAGCAACAAAAATTTTCCTTGTTCTCCTGGGAACAACTGTCCTTAGATGATGTGCATGTAAACCATGACGTGCAGCTTTATTCTGTGTCTGTACCTGTCAGTGAAAGAGATGAATGAGCAAAAATGCTTCTCACTTACTTTCCCCCAAAGACCCTGAGCTCGTGCTCCTCCATGTCAAGGATGACACACTGCTGGTGTTTGCTGGACACCAGAAGCTGCATTCACAGACTCAGGGAGTGGAAGCACCCAGCTATCCACTGCTGGATCTCAATTCCAAACCATTGCCTGCTGTATGCATTGCTGCCTCAGCTGCTAGAAACGCTCTGCTCTATTTAAAAGCAACAAGAGAAAGGGAAAATCTCATGGTGTAAAAGACAGATTGACAATTAATGACAATTCTACAGGAAAGAAAGCAGATCCTTCCACACTACTGACCCTTTCAAAGGTGCTTTTCTCTCCAGTGTGAGCATAGAGGAGCACTTATGTAGGCTGTTTTGGGGTCATATGCATAGTAGGCAGATCTGGTTTAAACTTCTAGATAAGGCACCCTAGAAGAGGACCAGAGATTCACGCATGACATTTCCTACTGCACAACATCTTTACACCGTTCTTCAGTTTACAGGAGATCTGGCATGGTTTTAGTCGAAGTGACTTTTCTAGAAGAAATTAAAGCGAAATTCTTGGGGAGTTGTGAAATTGAATAAGCCTGTGTTAAATGTGCTGTGTGACTCTGAAGGGGATTCTGCTGAACCTTGGCTTTTCCTGCAAGCTCCCAAGCACTTCCGGATGAACTGGCCATTCTTCTTGTGGATGCTTCCCTTCAACTCCACAATCCTGGCTGATTTTGCAGCTTAAAGAGGGGAGAAAAAATAAGAGATGTTCAGTCATCTCATATAGTGAGGCCCCAGTCTGCAAAGCATAGTGCAGGATTGAACCCCTTTCTTCTCCTCCTCACCATGCAAAGTTCTCCTACCTGTTTCCATGAGCTTCAGCTCTCTGCACAGCTCTTCCTGCATCTTCTTCCTGTAGTCTCCAAACATGGCTCTCATGAGCTGACGCTTCTTTACCAGTGGAGCCTTGTCACTGCGCAGTGTCCTGATTGCCCTGAGGGCTTCCTCAGCTGCAGCACAGGAGAAACAATACACAGTTTGAGGCTTCCTGCTGGATCTGCAACTGCATTCCTGCCAATGCTCCCCCCAGGAGAGAGCTCTTCTTTACTTCAATGCTTACTCTGCCTTGGAGTGGGTTTCTGCGTCTTCAAGCCGAGTTCCAGCTGGTTCACACACCAGTCCACCTCTTTCCGCAGCTGCTCATCTGACTGCTATCAACATGAGGCACAGTTAGAAAGAGGAAACAAGTCACCCAAAAATTACAGCAGCAGTTGCTATACAGGATGAAAGGGAACTCCATAAAGTCAGCACTACTCCAAATATCATGTTCTGGTGATCACTTTATAGACTTCATTATATTTTCCTTCTAGTGTTTTTCATCATATAAACTAAAAGCACCGTGCAAATGTTTAGTTGCAACTCACTGTCTCTATTAGATGGATTTAATGTGGGGCTGCCATTCAGAAGGTGCTGTTTTCTGGAAAGTTGTTCAGCTTTCAAATAAACTTACAGATGGGAGAAATAAACATTAACAATAAAAAACCCCTATCCTCAAACTTGCACAAAATCAAAAAAATCAAACAATGGACAAAATCAGAAGCTGAGTCTTTCTTTGCAAAGGGAACCACCTCAAGTGAGAGTGGATAAAGCTGTTTATGTGTTAAACTTCTTGCACCCTTCACCAGATTCACAGTTGTCTCCTCTATTTCATCATTTTTCTTCTTTAAATTCTAAACAGCCAAGTTTTCGTAAGGATATTAAGGTATGGGTTAAGGATTTGATTACTGGAATGTGGACTGGCCTAGTGGAGTTAATAATATGGGAGAGAGAGTATGCTTGTGTTTGACAGAGAATGGCCCTCGCTGGGTTTCTGCTCGTTGTGTTAAGCCATACTCGGAGCACACCAGAAGGAACAGGATGGATGGTCCCATAACTGAAGCAGAACGTGTGGAAGACAATGACCATCAGGTGGATTGAAGCATAGGCTCTTAAAGAACACTCTGTGAAGATGATCACTCAGGGCAAAATAAATAGCGACATTGACTCAGGCTGAAAACGCCAATTTAAATTGTTGGATGTTACCTTTACTTTGGGTTTTTGCTCTCCTCCACAGAGAGGCTGGCACTACTGAGTAATGTGTCTTGAACCATTTCCTTTCACATAGCATTTACTACCCCAAAAGAGAGGAACTTAATGTACCTAGGGGAGAGGTATTGCTTTTGTATAAGGGTGTTGAATTAGTAGCTGAAAGCTCATACTTTGAGCAACTAGATTTGCTTGCATTATGATAGCAGCAGCCAGTTGTAAAGTTAAGTGGATGCTGCTTAGTTTTGATTGGTGACTGGACAGATGACTTGGTCTTTTGGTCACAAAGTGTAACTCTATATGGAGGAAAATTTATTTGACTAAAAGTGAAGGTATCATTCTGCCACAAATGGGTCATCAAGGAATTGTGCAGTTTGTAAAGGTATTTGAAAATCTATCCTTTATGTGCCTTATTGATGTATTTTTTTATTGTTAGCACATGGTTACGGATGCCAGGATTTTGAGAGTATGTATTTTAAGGACTTGTTAGATTGCAATGGATCAGTTTACGGGAATGTTTTAGGTTTGAAGATGAGAATAACTGAATGGGGTTTTTTTTGTAAGTTAAAATACTGTTTTGTCCTCTGCTGTCTGCTTGGATTTTTGCAAGGGCCATGCAAGATCCTTAGCAGCACTTGTTTTTAAATAAGAAAAAGGGGGAATTATAGTGAGACCCACAGCTGGTCTGTGGGTTAGAGAGGGTTAATGAATGACGTTTGTTTTGAGAAGTATTTTCTGACCAAGGCTGTTGACATGGAGAGCAAGAGAAGGAGAAAAGAAGATAAGTAGGAAAAAAACCCCACAGCTGTGTTTCCACAGTTATTTTGAGAAATGTCCTGGGAAGAATAGGGATGGAGAATTTTCCACTAATGACTGTTATGTTGACATATTGTAACCCATGATGAAAGTGTAAACTATGTAAAGGGTATAAGAGACATTGCATTGTTGTAATAAACAGGTATTAGCCTTCTGAAATGTAGTGTGCCTTTTATATGTTGCGCCTGCCTATATAGCGACACTTCTTCTCGGCTCCTCTGTGCTTGCTCAATCAGAAATGCATGAGGAGAAGGAAGATGAAGCCCATGGAGATGAAGGAAGCCAAGCCCCATTGAGCAAAGCCAGCTGGCTCTCAGGAGTAGAACAGGGAAACAGGGCTGCACCCTGGACTGAAGTAATTCTTAACTGTCATGCACATGTAAATACAAATGCCCTCACACTGTCTCCTTTTAACCACAACAGTGTCCTTCCAAAGGACTGGAAGGGCTTCACCTGACCTTCAACTCTTCCTGTGTCTCTGGTGCTCAGCGGTGTTTATTGGTAGGGCCACAGGTGAAACAGACCTTTCAATGTTCCAGAGGCAGCTGAACACTCAGTGCAATTTCCTTGTAATATATTAAGAAAATGAAGGTTTTGTGCAATCTTGTATTACGGTATTGATCAGCTGGCACTGTTAATAACACCTACACCAGTGCTGGAAAGTAAAATAAAATGAAGACCTGGACCTTAGCAGGACAGAAAACTTCAGTGTGTGCCTTAATGTTGTGTTTACACATAACTTGCAATTTCAGTTGATTTCTGGGCCACACCCTACAGCAGAACCTTCTCAGAAGCACCCTTGAGCTTTACCACAGGCCCTTGGCTACACCAGGTGGCAATTCTGTGCCTTGGCTTTGCTCCTTGCACTGCAAAAGCAATTCATCCTGCAACATGCACATCAGAGCTACAGGGCCTGGCTCAGCACCCACAGGCACCAGCTTGCCACCAAGTGAAGACAGTTACCTTCTTTTCCTATTTTCATTTTCTTAAGAAAACATGGCATCCAGCTCCCCAGGACTAGCTGTTACAAGCCTAAACATGAAATCTTTCAGCACAAATCTGAAGGACCATTAACTTCCTTTGCACTGGTCAGGTTCCTCAGCTGTGTAGAAGACAAAGAGAACAGCTGCTGGAACACGGAAGCAGCCAGTGTGGTCTTTCAGCTTCCATCTCAAGGCAGTATGCTAATTGTTCATGTGTGCAAAGAGATAAAGTGTCTCTTTAGCTCAAGGGTATATAAATTATGGGATCCCATCAGTATTTAACTACCTGAGAGGTCTTCTTATCCTGATGGGAGATATCTATATTTTGACAGCTGTTAGTTTCTGCCTTTGCCTTCCTGCTGGTCTCTGTTTCTTCTGTTTTGTTTTTACTGACAGGTGGGTTTTGTTTCTTCTTTTTCTTCTTCTGGGCAGCTCCACCTCCTGTTGATTTCTCCGTCACTGCCTCATCTGCAGGGGCTGTCTCTGTTTGGGGGATCTTTGAAGTGACATGGCTTCTAACCTCTTTGGGTGCACTCTCTGTCACTTGAGTCACCTCAGGTTTCTGCAAGGCTGCAGCCTGTGGCAGAGCTGCTAATGCAGCACGCAGTGCAGGATCTGCTGTGTGCTCTGTATACTGGCACGCTGGAAGTAACTGAAGATGAGGGCAGTCTTCATCTGGGATGGCAAACTTGAAAGCAAACTTGGGTTCTTGTCCAGAGGCAGAGGCAGCAAACCTCAAGGCTCCATTCCAGTTCTCCTGCTTGGTGGCTCTGACATTGTTTTGTACCTGCTCAGCACCACTGTCACCAGGGTCAGCTTCTGTGTCAGTCTCAGAAAGTGTAAAATCAAATTGGAAGCTACTGCCAGATGATGTGAACAACTCTGGCTTTGCCTCAGGAGTTGGGTCAGACTGTTTCACATGATGTGCAGCCTGCCCCTTGCTTGGCTGTACTTCCACAATATCAGGCTTCATGCCTAGAAAAGACAAAGAATATTATTTCAATACTGGTGTTCTCAATGCACCAGTTTCCTGCCATGGGGGGTGCCACTGCAGCTTCCACTCAAAGGCACTTCCCAGAGAGGTGACTCAATTAATGCTGCAACCTAAGAAATCTACCAAAAAGAACCAAATCTCACATCCCCCGAGGGACAGCTCAAGCTCACCTTTCTCCATGCTCTTCTGATCCTCATCCATCTTGAGATGACAATCCCCAAACACATTGCTCATCACTTGTTGCTTCTCTGCAAGAGGAGTCTCAGGGGACTGCAGGACCTTGAAAATGTGTTGGGTCTCTTCTGCTGCACTCAGAAAACACCAAGAAAGACAAGAAACAGTTTACGGTGGGCCTTAAAATCCACACTGTGGAATGCTGATGACTGACTCTTCTCTGGATGTGCTCTGTGTTCATATCACCTCTGACTAATCCTTAAGTAGCATTCAATTGAAAGGGAACTCCAAGTGCTTCTAGAAGCTCAAATACTGTGAGAGGTTCCCACAGATGGAAAAAAAACCCTTAACTGCTTACTACATACAGTTGGACTCTTATATTGCAATAAGTGCATTGCTAATGGCACAGAAGCTACAGAGGGCTTAGCAATCTTTCCCTCAAGGTGAAGACAAATCCCAGAACCCAGCTCAGTGTCTCTTCTCTGGAAAACTGGAAAAATCTGAGTAGAGAGTATACCCTGAAAAGCAGGACTCTTGCTTGACTCCTACAAACCAGCCTGACCACAACAGGAATCCAAAGCTTTTGTGTTAGAACAAATTCTCTAAAAAAGAGTTGTTCTGTGACAGTGGTCCCCAAGACCTCCATTTGGAAATCCTAAATATAGTCTTGTAGTGTTTGTCTCACTCACCTTAAGTCACAGAACAAATTGAGAGTAGTATTGTGGAATGGGAACATCTCACCTCTCCTGGCTGCAGTGCCCGACCACCCTCTGGGGAATAAACCTTTCCCTAACATCCAGCCTAATAATCACTCCCTAACATTGCTCCAGCCATTCTCTCAGGTCCTGTCTCAGGGAACAGAGATTGGAGCTGCCCCTCTGGAGGAGCTGCAGCCCAGGTGAGCTCTGTGCTCCATCTCCTCTTCTCCAGCTGAACAAACCAAGTGCTCTCAGCTGCTGCTCCTATGGCTTCCCCTCCAAACCATTCCCCATCCTGTGTCCCTCCCTTGGACACTCTCTAGTATTTTTAGATCCTTCTGATATTGTGGTGCTCCAAAGTGCTCCCAGCACTCGAGGTGAGGCTACCCTAGGGCAAGGCAGAGCAGAGTAGGACAATCCCCTCCTTGTCTTGGCCAGTGATGCTGGGCCCAATGCACCCCTGACCATGGTGGGGCAGAAGTTGGATGTAACTTCACAGCATCTGAGCGTCTGAGGGTCCTGAGCACATATACCCTTATTTCAAAGGGTTTAGCAAGCTGCAATCCAGGCCAGTTACACAACAACAGGTAGAGAAAGCTCCAGGGAGCTGCTCTCCTCCCGCCCCTGGGAGCTACTCTGAGTAACTCATGCCTACAGGGCTACAACCAAATAACTCGTTGATCCTGAATTCCTGGCTAGAGCTTGGATCTGCCTCCTCACCAGACTTCTCCAGAGACTGAGACTCCAGGCAGAGCCTGAGTACCATCAGCAGCACTGCTCAACTCACCTGGCTCAGTGCCTTTTCTGGCCAGGGCACTGCTTCTGCTGCCTCGTTCCCGTGCTCAGCTTCTGCCTCCCCTCCAGGAGCTACCTTCCCTGCTGCTGGGCACTGGGGACCAGCAGAAGGATACACGTGTAACAAAATGGTCTGATCACAGAACAGCTTGGGCAGAAACCTTGAAGCTCATCCACTCCTGCCATGGGCAGGGACACTTTCCACTGCCCCAGGTTGTTCCAAGCCCTGTCCAACCTGGCCTTGGACACTCTCAGGGATCCAGGGGCAGCCACAGCTTCTCTGGGCACCCTGTGCCAGGGCTTGCCTACCCTTACAGAGAAGAATTCCTTCCTAGTATCTGATCTAAGCATAATATCTGCCAGTGGGAAGCCATTCCCTGTGCCCTGTCACTCTAGGCCCTTGTCCCTAGTCCCTCTCCAGCTCTCCTGCAGCCCCTTTAGGCACTGGAAGGGGCTCTGAGGTCTTCCCAGAGCCTTCTCTTCTCCAGGCTGAACAATCACAACCCTCTCAACCTTAATTCTTCTTGAGCCTGATGCTCAAGCACAGGGTGTGGGCACCTATCAGTCACTACTCTATCCTCAGGTGCACCAGCAAACACTCACCTGAGCATCTTACACAGGGTTCACAGCCCTTTCCCAAGGTTAGGTACTGACCAGCAGCAGGACGTGTGTCTGCAGCTCTACAAATTGGATTGACGAGATCAAACTATGGCCCTATAGAATTTTATCTTCCATGTAATTTTTCCCTGGAACAAGCTTCACAAAAATAAACCTACTGGTGTTTAAGGGCCAGACACACTGGCACAGTATTTGCTAAGATGAAAAACAAAGGCAGAGCTGTAGCAGAACCATACAAGTCATTATATGGGAAAAAGAGAACATGACAAAAAATACAGAAAACAGGGAGAACAAACACTAAATGAATGAAAGATAAAACTGCTTCCAGAAACACAGTCCTTAAAGCCCAAAGCTTTATGTTATTCTGTGTTTAGAACAAATCCCAAATAACACAAGAACAGGGAACATAAAGGAGAGAAGAAACAGAAAAACACTCAGATCTGCTGAATCACATCCAAGGCCAGAATACAAGCGGTGTGGGCTGGGAAAGAGGAACATACCTAGTTTGGGATGTGGGGTGAGGTGGAGATCTGCCTCGAGTTGCGAAATGCACCGCTCCAGCTCCTCCTGGAACACACCTTGGGGAGCCTTGGACATCGTGTGGGGAAGGCAGAATGTTTAGAAGCACAAATCTCTCACCTCCAAACCTGATTCCAAACTGAGTTTTCTGAGGCCTTCTCCCCTCTCACAGGATATCAGACCTGGCTTTACACTGGAGGTGTGCTGTTTAACAGTTCATTTATACCATAAACTAACACAGCACAGGGATACGAGTCCTGTGTGGAGAGCACCAAATGAACCCTCTGCATTACAAAAATTACAGCTCTTACCAGCAGGAAACCTCACCACTCCCAGCAACCCAGGACTTGTCACAGACATTTTTTTTCATCTTTTTCTCCACCTGTTCCTTTTTAAAGGCCCCAAATAAAGATTTCTCATTTTTCCTGAATCTTAGACAATGGCAAAATGTCTCCACAGCAGGAAATTTCCCTTTAGCGCAGCTCTGGTAACACACAGAATTTATCTTTAGGCTAAACACAAGCCCTTGAGGCCCCATGTGCTGTATTTCTACGCTGGCTGCCTCACGCTAAGGAGGTGGAAGTTACGGTTTGCAGCCCGCCGGGGGAGAAGGTACACTAAAACACTGGAAACGAAAAGAATATTCAGGATAAGGAGATGGGCAGGGATTGTGAAAGGCACAAGCGCTGGAAAGGTCGTTAAGGAGAACCTGCGGCAGCTGGGTTCGGTGCAGGCCGACCAGCACAGCCTTACCAGCTCCATGCCGAGCTCCCGCGCCGCCGCAGCAGGAAGCGGCCGCCTGCACCGCCCACCTCCGCTCTCGGGCCTCGCGTGGGCTCCGGGAGCAGCCCAGCCCGGCCCGGCCCCGCCAACTGCAGCTCGGGGCCCGCTCGAGGCCTCCCCGGAGCCCTCTCGGAGCCCCCGGACCCTCCGCGGGGCCTCCCCCAGCCGCGGGCTCGGGGTGGGCGGGTCGGGGCGGTGCGCGCCGCCCTAAGCGCTCCGGCCGCTCTCCGCGCTGCCGTTCCGCCCGAGAGCGCCACGGGCCGGAGTCCCCAGCGCCCACCTTGGCCGTGACCCCTGAGCCTCCCAGGCGCCCGCCGGACACGCGTGTGCCCAGGAGCGGGCCGGGCCGCGCCGCGGGTCAGATCCCCGCAGGAACGCCCACAGCAGTCCTGGCCCCTCACATGCCAGCCTGACACAGGCTATGCCAGCAAGCACCACCCTAGGCACGCAAAAAATCTTAATACACACCTGTCTGATCCCATTTCTATTATAGATTTTCTTTTGATTATTTAATTTTGTAAATAAAAAGGTAGACACCTTGTTTCACACACATTTTTCCCCCTTGGATTGTTTCCAACAACAGCCAGGAGATCCCCATGAGGTCAGCACTGCAGCAGCACAGCACATCACAGCACAGGGTTTGGTTTCGTATCTCTCAAATGCTTCCAACCATGGAGGTTATAATTTCTCTTGACATTGGCAGCTGATGTTAGAAATTCTCCAAGGCTCACAGAAGGGCTCTAAAGTGCTGGGAAAGCACTTCCAAATGTTGCTGCTAAAGATTATAAAATGGTACTGGAAAAATTGGTACATTTCTGCCAATCCCAACCAGATTTCTGTCTGCCTTACAATCTCCACCCTTGCTGAGATGTTGTCTGAGCCCTCCCCTCATTACAAAACCCACCTTAGTGGTTTGAGCCTTATCCAAGGTTGTGTTGAGACTTCATCTTGATGCCTATTCTGAGTGCTTGAGTAGGGTCAAAATCAGCATCAGTTCTCACATACAAGTGTCCAAGTGTCAGGAAAAAATCTGACAGTCAAGTATTGGAGGAGATAATGAGCATAAAATAATGAGCTAACCTATCTGTCTTGAAAGGCCAGAATCCCACTGCAGTTTTCCACTCCCTCAGTGCCTGAGCTGGACTGAGGGCTCATGAGCCTGTCACTACCAGTTTGGATACATCCCCTAAAGCAAAAGCTCCCCATCCGTGGCCTGAGGAATGCACAAACCCATCGAGGCTCTTCTTGGTATGGCTGGCACAGAGCCTGCAGAACCCATCCAAACAGAGAAAGGAGTGAAAGGAACATTGTTTTATGTGGCAGGACGCTGTTCGTATCTCCAGCTCTATGGACTCAATGCCCATGCAGGGAAAAGGCACAAAGGACCAGCAATGCCTTGGTATTCCTGGGTTTGATGTCTGCCCTGAGGATTCAGCCCCACAAGGGCACCGAGTCAGTGAGCTGTGGCAGCCTTTTTCTGAGGACAGACGACAGAAGGGCTGTCAGGAGATCCGAATGTGATCCTCAGCTTCTGCTGACACAACAGAAACCTTGTGACGGGAAGAGCTACGAGCTGAGCTGGTGGAAGCTGATGTCTAACAAGTCATGGCTGTCTGGGGGCTAAGCAAACAGCAGGCAGAGGAATGGGAATGGCTTGAGCCTGCCTCAGGTGTAGAGCAGGTTAGTGTGTGCTGTATAAACTGTGCAAAAGCTGGGACAGTTCCTCACTGCTGTCAGCTGGTGATAGGAGCACCTGTCAGGGGGCAGGACAGCTATGCAGTCCTGTAGGTCACTCCAGGACTGGCATTCCTTGCCAGCACAGAGCTGCCTTCTTTCCCCATGTCACCAACTGAGCACCAACAAATTCGTGGCAGGCATGGCTGCAACTGGAAGCTGGAAAATGCAGCTCTTTGGTATGAGGCTCCTTTAAGGGGGTTGCAGGAAGGAATTGAGAAAGAAGGACAAAAGAGAGAAGTGGGATGGTTGCCAGAGCTGCCAACCATAGTGCCAGGGAGCCTTGGAGGGCACTGGGACAGCTCAGCATCACATGCCTGACACATCCTGTCGCCAAACTTCCTTGCCGGCAATGTACGTGGCTTGCACATACAGGCTGTCATTCAGCATTAGGAAATCTGTGTTGGACAAGAGAGAAAGAAAGCAGCTGTCAGAATGGAGCTGCTGGAGCTGGCTGGGGAGAGCTGAGCTCAGTGGGGAAGGACTTCTCCCCACCCCAGGATGGCACTGCAGTGCAATCCTGGCAATGGTAGCTCTGCTTTCTGCTCTGCTGAGATGTGGGGGGAGCACTTCAGAGGGTTTCCCAAACACCACCAGCATCCAAAGGAAAAACCACTGAAGCAAAAGCCTAGAGCATATTCCAGGTAGAGCAAGTCTCCCTGAAGCTCCCACTGAAACAGGGGATGAGCATGTACTTACAACACCCCCTGCTTTGCTCCAGCACTTTGTGAGCCCTTGTATCCATACCAGTACGTGTTGTGCCCATACCAGTACCTGCATCAGAGTCATAATTCAGTGTTCCCTTTTTATGTTCAATCCCCAGGAGCTGAGCGGGATGCAGAGATGCCGCCTCCAACGCGGTCTCTACTGAGCAGCCTTGGACAGAGAATTGGGGAAACGTTAGGGCAGCCAGAGCCCCATTTCCAGAGCAGCCCAAATCCCCCTGGACAAGGCAACTGTCAACTAGGCAGTTGATGGACCCAATATGGAACACCCTCAGCACAGCCAACTGGAGCTGGGAAGGGAAATACCCGTACAAGAGAGAGCAGGCATAGGAAAACTGAATACCTAGGGTATGGAGAAGGGAAAACAATTCACTTTTGTGAGAAAGAAGTAGGAGAGTTCACCTCCCATTAATTCTATGGGTTAGAATGAAACTTCCCCTCAAAAAGGGGCTCATCTGAGGGCACTGATCCCATCTCTTGCCACGTCTCAGGTAAGAGGAAACATTCCTGGTGGAATGGACACATCTGGCAAAAGCAACACCTATTCCGTGTCAACACAGGGAGCAGCAGCTTGTGGCTCTCTTACCTGTGGCTTCTTGGAAGTGTCGCACACAGGTGTCCATGGTCGCCACGCTGCCACTCAGGGTCTTTGTGCCTGGGAGAGAAACAGGATGGCACTAAGTGCCTATAGCTCACAGCAAAAAACAGGGCACTAGGGAAGCATAATAGCAGGAGCAAGCTGAAGGGCCTGCAGCCACTTCCTGCTGGAGCACAGGAAGTGGTACATGGGTGTTACCCCCACCTCCACTATCAGACCAGCTGGACTTGGTGAAACCAGCTCACAGTGCAGGCATCTGCTGCCAGAGGAAGGGGATGGAGAAAGGAATGCTCCTTATCTGAAATACCTTCCCAGCCTTCATCTACTTAGGAATTTGAAACTTAGGGAAATTAGCTAGCAAGAAGTGGTAGTGTTATAATAAAGAAAATGGACAATAAATATCTCTAAGATTTCTCTGTCCTTACTGACGCCCTGAACCTCTGGCACCCTTGTCACTGGGCAATGAGGCTTTCAAAGGTATTGCACACAGCTACAACTGGACAGATTCCTCCATGAAGGTGGCACACTTCTCCTCTTTACCAGGAGTTTCATTATCCCCAACGCCAAGTCCCTGCAGATCCACCCGGCATCAAAACCCAAGAGGGTGCCACACACCGACATGGACAGCAAGGTGTGCTCAGCACCTCAGGAATGGTGCCAGTGGCACCGTTGTCTGGAGCTCTTCAGCAAGAGGAACAGCACTTACCTGCGATGTAGGTGTTCAGCCCATCAATCTCCACCACCTGCTGACCCAGCGTGTGCCGACCCGGTGCCAGCCCCATGCCAGCCATTGCATCTGTCACCAGCACCAGCCCTGCAGAACACGAGGAAAGGGGCCCTGTCAACACTGCAGCTGATATTGCTGCAGCTCCAAGCACTGTGCCCTGTTGACCCTCTCAAAGAGGGACCATGTGTCTCCAGCCACATCCCACTGATCCCGCAAGAGGACTGAGGGACCAGCACAAGTGGCTGTGACCTTCCAGACAGCAAGGGCAGCACAAATGTCTTCTGGGAGATGGTGCAGTGCTTGGAGTGGCTGGTGACACTGTGGGGACTGCTGTGGCTCACCTTTGGGGTGGGCTCGGTGGGCGATGCGCAGGGCAGCAGGGTTGGTGTGGATGCCATCAGAAATCATGCCATAGAAGACCCTCCGCCCAGCAGGAATCCTGTCACTTGTCAGCAGCCCCACAATGCCAGGGTCACGGTGGTGGAACTGCTCAAGGGGAGAGAGAGGGGACAAGCTGTGGAGGATCACCAGGACACACTGGCTGAGACTTCCCTTCAGGGAATGCAGCTGTCATTTCTATCACATAGTGCCTGGCAGGTTTACCAGGCAAACCTGGGCATTGCCTTGAATCACAGAATCAATCACGGATAGTTTGAGTTGGAAGGAACCATAAAGCTTATCTTGTTCCAACCCCTGCCATGGGCAGCAACACCTTCCACTATCCCAGGGTGCCACAAGCCCCATCCAACCGGACTTTGAATGCTTTCAGGAATGGGACAGCCACAGCTTCTCTGTGCCAGGGTCTCAGTACCCTCACAGCCAATAACTTCTTCCCAATATTCCATCTATCCCTGCTCTCTGGCAGTGGGAAGACATTCTTCTTTGTCCTGCCACTTCAGGCCCTTGTCCAGAGCTTTTCTTCAGCTCTCTTGGAGCCTCTTTAGGCCCTGGAAGGGGCTCTCAGATCTTCCTGGAGCCTTCTCCAGGTGAACCCCCCTAGCTCTCCCAGCCTAGCTCCAGAGCAGAGGGGCTCCAGTGCTCAGAGCATCTCCATGGCCTCCCCTGGACTCTCTCCAGCAGCTCTACATCCTTTTGCTGTTGGCCCCAGGGCTGGAGGCAGCTCTGCAGGTGGAGTCTCACCTGAGTGGGGCAGAATCCCCCCCTCCCCTGCTGCCCACACACGGAGGGGGCGTCTGGGTGCACACAGCAAGGGCATGTCCAGCTCTCACCCACGAACACTTCCTCATCCTTCTTGGTGATGTATTTCAAGAGTCTGCTACAGCCTTGAGTTTCTTTCAGATCCAGCAGTAGGAATGTGAAGCCAGAGGTTCAGTGCCAAAACCTCATTGCAAAGCATGGTACAAAAACAGCTGGGAAGAACACAGACCCAAGGAGAGCGGGAGAGAAAGCCCAGAAGCAGCCCTGGAGCAGGGCAGGTGCCTCTGGGGACTCACCGGCAGCATGGCATTGAAAAGGTGAGTGATGAAGGTTGCTCCGTGCTGCACAGCCTCCTCAGCTTGGGACAGATTAGCCACTGAGTGACCTGGGAACAAAGACCAGTGCCTGATCCTCTGCTCATCTCTCCACTGATTTCCCTACAGGAGCAAAGACACCCCATCACTAATGCTCTAATGCCCACCCTGGCCTGAGGTACAGCCTTTACACAGATGTGTCTGGCCACGACCTGGGGGTAGGTGTTTCACCTGAACTCCTTCAGTGTTTACATCACAGCTGTCACAACTGTTGCCTTGCTCACAGCATGTTGTCTTGCTCACAGCATGTTGTCTTAAGGCTGGGCTTGAGGTCCAATGACACGCCTTTCTGCTGGCCTCAGATACTTAAATGTTTTGTAGAGAGGTATCAGAGGATACCCTCACAACAGTGGGGACTTTGCCAGGAAGGCATATGGGAATTAAACTATCCAGAAAAAAACTTCTGTTTCCCCAGCAGGACAGCAGCTCTGTAGGCTAACCTTGCCTTTCTGGAGTTCTTTATGTGGCTGTGGGATAAGAGATAATCTGCTGTATGAATGCCCTTCTCACTTGAGGTTTAATTTCACCCTGAATAACTTCCCCTCTTTAAAAATAAAAGACTTCTTCAATGATCTGAGACAAAGAAGAGTTTGTGAAGCAAAGGAAAAGAAAAATGCAGCCAGTTTTAAGACAGCGGCCAGCCATATGTTGGAGGGAGAGGTTCCTACAGCACTTGCAGTTGAAAAACAGAGTTATCAAACCAACAGTAACCTTTGGAAAATTATTTCACCTGTCACATAAAGCAGTGGAACTTCAGAGTTTGAACCCTTCCACATCATCAAACCTCCAACTAAGACTGCTGTTTTTCCCTGTGTCAGAACAGCACCTTGTGTTTACTGCAGGGGCTCCTCAGTTGATATAAACTTTGACCCTTGCCATGACAGATTGACAGCATCAAGCGATGTCCCCATTTGTGACAGGTCTGTCATCTCCATGCAGGCCAGGCAAAAGAGAGTCCCACCCTGTCTAGTTACACTGACACATCTTTAGAGATGCCACAGCCCCAAGGGAGGGGTGCCCCAGCCCTTACCCAGGGAGACGCAGATGCCCCGCTTGGTGAGCTCCCGGATCACCTCACTGCTCCTCCTCATTTCAGGGGCCAGGGTCACTATCTGGACACAGTCCAGGCAGCCATAGGTAGCAAGCAGGTCCTGGAAGGCACCTGCCTCAAAGGTGCGGAGACAGTGCTCCGGGTGGGCACCCTTCTTCTCCTTGCTGATGAATGGCCCTTCCAGGTGGGCTCCTGTCCAAACAGGAACAAATAACCATGACTCTTCCTCCCCCTGCCAAGGACCAAGACACCTGCCATGTCTACTCTTGCTCCAGTCACACTCTTGCCGTTTTTCTGCACCAAAACACACGGCTCAGGCAACTGTGAGCTCAGCATAGTGAGGATGCAGTGCTGGCCACTGGCCAAGCCAAGCCACCCCACTGCCATTGCTCCAGGGGCCCCAAAGGGGCTGGAGCAGTGTGTGTACGATGACACAGAACACAGCAAAGGCCAGACACAGCCTGAGGGACAAGGTGGGTCTATGCTCACCTGTGCATTCCTCCCATTGAGAGTTCCAGTCCCTATTCGTGCTCTGTAGTTTCTTTCACCTCAACCGTGAACAAAATAATTGCCCACCTAGAATAGCACCACAGAAGGACAAATCTACTTACCCAGGATTCCTGCTCCATGGGCTCCACCGTTTCTTACGCTGATCTGAGGGAGAACCTAGAGAAAGGCTTTGTCAGACATGACAACCCAGACACAGCCCCCCAGCCTGCCAAATCAGACCCAAATGTCAGGTCTGCAGGGAGACGTGTAGATGGACCACTTGGGACCATCACAGCCCACAAAGGAAAAGCCGTCTCCAAGCCTTGGTGTGCAGAGCTCACTTGGGAGACATAGCTGCCTCAGCATTCTGAAGGCTGAGGGCAAGAAACCCAGGCTAGGGTCCAGCTTCTCATGCCCACAGCTTTTCTGCCCTGGCAGCTACCTCAGTCTTGGCCCACCCACCTCCTGATACCAACCTCAGTCCCTAATCACCCTGCAGATGGGAGGGGAAAAGGCCCCTTACCTGGTGGTACACAGATGAAGGAGAGGTCACCAGGGTGGGACAGAAAGAGGTCACTCCATGGGAGAGGATTTTCTGACCGACCAGGTCAATACCTGATTTGAAGTCATCAGTAGCCAGAGAGAAGTCCACCCCAAAGCCTCCTGCACCACAAACAAAACGGGGGAAACTGCAGCTTCCCCAGTAGGTGAGTTCCACCCAGAAACACCAAAGAAAGACTTTGTGTGACTGAAGGGAGATGCTTCATTTGCAGGGCGCTGACACAGAGGGCTCCACCAGCACTTCTGTCCTATATTCCAAGGTTCCACAAGTACAAACCTCCCCATTGCTGTCCCCCTGAAGTGCTCTTCCCCACAGCACCCCAGTGTTTTGCAAGCACAACCTTTTTATTTTGATGCAGGGCAAAATGTGACTATTCCCAGCTGAAAAGGGATCTGACTTCCAACTTTAGCTACCACAGAACAAGCCTCTTTCCTTCTGAAGAGAGCTATTGCAGTTAATTGTTATTGTTCCCTAGGGAAGTCTTGCCCTCTCCTCCCATGCCCCGGAAAGGATAGGGCAGGCATCCTGCCAGTGCAGAGGCAGGATAAAATACAGATAAAAATGAGTCCAGAGGAAACCCTCACCTGGCCAAAGGGGATCACTTACACAACAGCAGCAACCACAGGCAAAATTGCTCTTTGTCATTGGTTGCGTGACTCACACCTCCCTTCAGCAGCTGAAACCTGGTCATGGGCAGGAAACCCGCAGTGGGGCTGGGGGTCAGGGATGGACAAACCCAGGACGCCCCCAGTCTGTGAGTGCATGTTGCTTCACTGTACCATTGATCTGGACATCGATGAAACCTGGGGCGATGATGCTGTCCTTGCAGTCCAGCTGGACATCAGCAGAGCCCTTCTCGTCAAAGAAGAGTTTCTCTGGGTTGAGGATCTTCCCCTCTCGCACCCACAGGTCCTCCCTGGGGGGACAGGTACACACACCAAGCTCTCGTACCATCTGCAGCACGAGGAGCAGACGGCCCTGCCCCAGTGACATTGATCCTGGGCAGAGTGGATCCCACGGGCACTGCGATGTCTGCCAGAGCACAGCTGCTCTTCCCGCTGGGACACAGCGAGCAGCCTTCTCTACCTAGCTCTGGCTCTACAAAACTCACGGGAATGGGATTTTCATGGGCTGCCCCTCAAAGGTGGTGGTGATGATGACCAAAGTGCCAGGGGGGCTGGCAGAAGAGACAGAACGACAGAGACTGTACACCACACCCGCCCCATGTCCCTCCAAAACCTGGCAGAGGGGACATGGACAGTCCCTTGGCACTGCAGGTGTCAGGTCAGGTCGGCAGCCCGTCCGGGAGCCCCCACACTCCTTGTACACCCGCAGCCTTGGTACCCACGGACACCACAATACTCCTGGACAGCCCTGGTACGACCGGACATCACGGTACCTCCAACAGCCCTGGTACCCCCAGTCACTCCGATACCGCCGGTACCCCCCGCCTCACCTCTGGAGCTGGTGGTCCCTCAGGATGCGGCAGTTGGTGAACTGGACGATGGGCGCGTCTGAGACGGATTTGTTGGATGGCATCGCGGGGCAGCGGGAGCCGGCGGGAACCGCGAACCCTCGGTGGCCGTGCAGGGGGCGGGAACCGGGCGTGGCGAAGCAAGGCCAGGCCGCAGCTCCGGTACAGCGGCTGCCGCGGGACTGGGCAGCAGGTGAGAGGCGGAGGCACCGCCCCGGGGGCAGGCGAAGGGTGAGCTCCCTCCTCTCTCCGGCACTCTGAGCCGATGCTGTGAGGAACAAGGCCCGCGGGGTCGTGCGGCCGAACCCCACCGCGCTGCCCGATGAGCGCCGGGCCCGGGGCACTGTCCCCGCTCCGGGGGCACCGCGACCCGGGGGCGTGGCCTCGGCGCGGCCCCGCCCCGCAGCATCTCCTGCTCCTGGTCACGTGAGCGCTATCGGCACGTGCCGGGATTCCCCGCCCACCCTGCGGCACGTGACCGGCACCGAAGAGCCGCCATTACGGGAAGGGCGCCGCCATCTTGAGAAGGTCGGTCGCGAACGTCCTCTTCATGAGATCCCATCGTGTGATCTCATCCTCAACCCTCTTCGTGAATCCCCATCACGGGACCCCATTAAGAAACCATGCTGAGACCCCGCCCATCGTGAGGCTCCATCCTGAGATCTCAATCCTGAGACCCCACTGTGAGACCTCATACTGAGAATCCATCCAGAAACCCCGTCCTGAAATCCCCATGCTGACACCTCCATCCCAAGACCCCCATTGTGACACCCTGGGCCCACTGGCCCCCATATACCTGAGGGAAGCTGATGAGATGTGGTTCCACCCAGCTGATGTGGGCTCCAGCACTGCTGATTAATCACTCCCAGGAAAGAAAATGATGAAGAATATAATTGTGCATGAATGTAATATCCCTGTCTGGCTTGTAATTGGATTTTAATTAGGTTTTAAGCCATGCTTATCATTCCATGATGTCAGTACTTGTCCACAATGCAAGCTGCTCCTATTGTCAGCAGGATACAGGGAAAGGGACCTGAAAGGGAGAGATGGGAATGATGCTGGTTGAGGCTGGGAAAACTATGTGCAGCATTGTTTTGGGAATTTGAGGCTAAGAATGGTTTCAGGCCACAGAGACGCTACAAGAGCTGGAGCCCCTCTGTTCTGAAGCCAGGCTGGGAGAGCTAGAGGGATAAACCTGGAGAAGGCTCCATGGAGACCTTAAAGCCCCTTCCAGGGCCTAAAGGGGCTCCAGAATAGCTAGGGAGGAACTGTGGAACAGGGCCTGGAGGGGCAGGACACAGGGAATGGCTTCCCACTGCCAGAGGGCAGGGACAGATGGGATATTGGGAAGAAATTGTTCTCTGTGAGGGTGAGGAGGCCCTGGCACAGGGTGCCCAGAGAACCTGTGGCTGCTCCTGGACCCCTGGTAGTGTCCAAGGCCAGGTTGGACAGGTCTTGGAGCAACTGGGGTTAGTGGAAGGTGTCCCTGCCCATGGCAGGGGCTGGAACTGGATGAGCTGTAAAATTTTCCTCATGAAATTATGCACATCTGGGATATGAAACATGGTATTTCTGGGAATGATTTTTAGCTTCATACAGGTGGAGCTAAGGAGACCCCAAAATTAGAAGTTGAGAAGATGAATCCTAAAAGCAGCTCTCAGCCCTGCTTATCTGTCTATGAAGAAGAAAGGACCCATCCAAGCTGCTAAATCAAATTTGGATGTCAGAAGGCATGTTTGGCACCCAAACTGCCTATGGCCAAAACAGGTCCCTTCCCCAGGAACATACAAGCTGACAGGGTTGTGACAGTAACTTTAGCTGGCAGTGGAAGAGATGCTGAAGTAAAGGCAAATACTGACTGCACAGATAAAAACACCCACTGTAAATATCCTGCCTTGGGCCCACCCGGAGCAGTAAGAGAGCTTCACCTGAGAACCCTCCAGCCACATAGATCCAAGGCTTCCTCAGGCTGCTCTACTGGATCAGACGGCTGACACCTCCTGTCTGCACTGCTGGGAGAACCAAACAGCCTGTGCCAAGTGATGGGAATCTGTTCCTCAAGGCTGCAGGTACATCATCCAGCCCAGTTTATGGCATGTACTGCTAAAGTCTTACTCCTTTGGATGTTCTCCTTTTATTTCTCGGCATTAAATTAACCGTGTCTTGCATCACCAATACTGCACACTAGTTTAATAATAATTCCATATTCTTTCTCTCCACTGCCCCAGTAACAGGCAGAGGGAATCACAGGCTGTAGTTTTGCTTGCATTTTCTTTAGCAAACGTGGGTGTTTTTTTCCTTCAGGTTGAGTTATTTTTAGCCTGGCTCAATTCCCAAATTAGGTTCACTGCCTGGCAGCAAGAGCAGTTGTACCTGCGCACTTGAGAGGAGCTGGGGAGCACACGAAGCCAGCTGCAGGAGTGGGACTGGGGCTAACACTGCTGCTGCATGAGGGGCTGTTGAAATATAGCCTTGTCTTCTGATTTTCACAGGCATTCACAAAGATGTGTAAGAAATTGTCCCAAGGCACACAGGAGCCATGGAAGCTGCTTAGAACAAACTGCCAGTCTTGGGGATATACATGCTCTCCCAAGATTGGTCCCTCAGCCTACCTCACGCAGACAGCCATTAGGAGAGTGTGGTTGAATTCACTCTCTGCCACTCAAGTCACCCTTTTCCCTTCTGCCAAAGGCAAAGGAAGAAAGCACAGGTGTAACAGCATAGACAGAGCAGCTCAAAGTGCCAGAAAAGGCCCCGGAACTTACACAGTCCCTGGTATCCCCTTGATGAATCCCAAAGAGCCAGACCTGATCCTGTGATGAAGGCAGCTTGTCCCTCAGCAAAAGGAAAATGGCAAAAACAAGCCACCAGCTCCCCAGGAGCTGCGTCCAGCCCAGCCTGTGCTCTCTCAGGTCAGAGAGAGCTGTCAGGGGTCTCTAGGTACCTTGTAGGTACAATGTGGGCCCCAAAAGCCTCGGCTCCTAAACACTGTAAGGTCAGGGCAGGACTTTTCTCTGTGTGCTTTCGTGTTGTGACACTAGAACAATCTTTGCTGAAAACCACTGATAGGAGTTGCAAAGCTATGGCTCTCAGAAGCTCACTGAAGTGTGTCTTGCAGAAAAAGTAACAGCATTTATTAGCTTTAACAGAAACAAAAATGGAGAAGCATTTTGGGACACAACTGAAACAGAAAATTCCCACTCCAGGGCCAGTGGCATTGCGAAGACTTGCTCTAGGTTTAATTTAATCATGTCAAGAGGAAAAGATGGTTAACAGCTGTAAAACTAAGGCCAGAAGCTGCAAATCCTGTGAATCAGAGACAAATAACTCTCACCTGAGCACAGTGATGGTTTGGACAGTACAGCCCGCTGGAAACAGCAGAATGCCCTACAATCAGTATCCCCTTCGCCAGCCAGGGAAGAAAACAAGGTTTACTGAGAGCTGTAGTCATTAGCTCTGCTGTTACGCTGCAATTGAAAAGAGCAACTTGGTTTCTGGGAATCAGTTTCTCATAACAAGGTTTTTATTTCCCTAAAGCTTACTTACGAAAAGGTTACCATGCTTCTCTGTAAGCCAGATCTCCCCAGGAAAGCTGATCTCTGAGCAATCAGAGACAAAAATCCTGATACTTAAAAATGCTCCTCCAAGAGCAGTGAAAAAAAAATTGCAGCCTTTGAAAAAACCCCAAAAATCATTGTGAAAGGGTTAACAAAGATCAAGGTCAGCAGGCTCTGTGGCAGCACTATCTGTGCTCGCAGCAGGTCCTGAACCCCCCGAGCCTGCATTGACTGCGGATGGGCCCTGTCCCTGTGCTGCTGCTACTGCAGAGGCTCCTTTCCTCTCCCTACTCTCCCCTCTCGGCTGACTCACTGCAGTACTCCCAGGCACATACGGAGCACAAAAGCACCATGGCAGTGCCGGCACAGCCACCCCCTTCCCCTCTCCCAAACCGACTACCAAGTCAATCCCTATTAGCTGGATGAATGCCAGCTAGAATGAAGCTCAGCTTCATTTTCTGAGCTGCCATGCTCCTGGCAGTAAAGGAATTTTAAAAACCCCAAAGGTCCCTCATATTCTTAATGCCCCAAATAATTTGAGAAGTGATTGCTGATGATTGCTATTGCATCAGCAATAGCACCAGTGAAGGACTTGAATTGTGAGTTTTCAGCCGGGAGCTATCACAGAGGATTCAGAGCATCGCTGTCGCGGTTGAGGCAGCAGGTCCAGGCTGTTAATTTGACTCTGGGTATATTTGCAGGTACTTGGCACAAAGTGCCCTTCCCAATCCACGCTCAGCCCCAGCTCTATTCTTCTTGCATGGGTTTACATATATTAATGACAAAGGCTTCATATTCTAAGACATGAAGCAAAATGCCATTTGGGAGATTTTCCCTGCATTAGTTCTGCAAGTACCTATTAACTGTCTCGGCATGATGTCACCAACCTACAAGGGACCTTAGGGGTGATTGGAACAGGGGGCCTTTCAATCACTTACTGCCCTTGGAGGTGAGAGCATTTAGCTCTCTCT